AAGGTGTTCTATGCAAAAGGTGTTCGGCCCCTTTTCTTTGGCAACACAGAAAGGAGAATTCTACGTTGTGAGGTTATAATCCCTAAGCGCGGCCGAAGGCCGCCTACGAAGAAAGGTGTTCAGCCCCTGATTCCCCTACTATTTATTTTAATCTGAACAAAATAACCTTATCGTGTTTTCGTTTTAATCGTATTTTCTTTTGCTCTTGCTTTCCACTCTTGGTTTTTTACATATGGCAACACAGTCCTGCTGCCATTTGCACATATTCTGCATGTACTCTCATAAAATTAAACAACAATCAATTTTTTATAAAAAAGCTGTAATATACTAAAAGTATTTATTTGTTTGAACGTGCACACTCTAGCTGCGCATATATTGAGTGTAAATAACGTGTAAATTTAGTGGAAAGTGCATTATATATTGTGAAATAGTCCCATACAAGTTGGTGAAAATTACAAACTTAAATAACAAATTACTTAAAAACTATAAGGTTGCGCGCTTTAAAACTTTACATACACCGCCTTTAGAACCCCCTCTACCCGCCCTATTTTCCTTAATTCCGTAATCGGGGGTTACCATTCTAAAATTTTCCCCAATTGAATCATGTGAGCCCTACGGCATCAACTGAGTTACTGAGGTACATTTTTTTTGGACAGGGAGTCTCAGTTACCGATTAACTTATGGGAATCAACTCAATAACTCAACTCTGAGTTGAGTTACCCACCTCTATTTCATACGTCTTTAGATGCGCGTTAGTTAGAATCGTGAAATTATGAATTAAAAAATCATTATATGTACATAAATACATGTGTGCATGTAAATTTTAATTACATTTTAAAAATAAATGCCTCCAAGTGGTGTTTGGATCCACTTCAATAAAGGTTCAAAGGTGGAATGCCTCAAATGTGGCAATAGACTGGCTTCTAAAAATAGTACATCGTCTTTATGGAAGCATCTAGAAAAAGCCCATCGCATAAATTCACCAAATCAAGCAACACGGAAACCATGCGAAAATTGCAATGACGTCGAAGTTTCTCAGCCTAAACAGGTAAATACAATTATATATAATAGTGGTATTCATCTAAACCGATAACTTTATCAAGCAGATAATCATATACATAAGTTTACGCACTCTGTTACACGAACGACTCACACTCTCTTTTCGTTTACACATGCGACAATGGTCGTGTTTTCTTTGGTTATAGAGCTCAGTATCACTAACTTTATACTACTAGCACGGGGATAAAGAAATTATAGAAACTACCTCACTAAATTGGAAAAAATTATATTTACGAGATAATATCTATTTAAATAAATATACATATAACAGGAGCGTTCCTTATCTCCCAGAAATAGTCAGAAAAAGTTCGAAGTAGTCAGATTTAGGGGAAAATTTTAGTAGACGGACGGCAAATTCTAGAAAAAGGGGGGACGAGGGGGGGTAGAATCGGACCCCCTGATTTCAAAACTACCCCCCTTTTTTCTAGCAACCCTATAGTTCTTATATAATTTATTGTTAAAGTTTTCATATAAACGATGAATAAGATAGCAAAATAACATACAACTTAGTGCTACCAGACTGGAATTTTGAATAATAAAAGCGGATTTTTAATTCGGAATTTTTACTTAGTAGAATTATTATTTCTGTGTTGCCGAAGAAGGGGGGGCTGAACACATTTTGCAGAGAACACCTTTCTGCGTAGGCGGCCTTCGGCCGCACTTAGGGATTATAACCCTCAGGCAGTAGAATTCTCCTTTCTGTGTTGCCAAAGAAAAGGGGCCGAACACCTTTTGCTGCGTAGGCGGCCTTCGGCCGCACTCAGGGATTATAACCCTCAGGCAGTAGAATTCTCCTTTCTGTTTTGCGAAGAAAAGGAGCTGAACACCTTTCAGCGTAGGCGGCCTTCGGCCGCACTTAGGGATATAACCCTCAGGCAGTAGAATTCTCCTTTCTGTTTTGCGAAGAAAAGGAGCTGAACACCTTTTGCAGAGAACACCTTTCTGCGTAGGCGGCCTTCGGCCGCTCTTAGGGATTATAACCCTCAGGCAGTAGAATTCTCCTTTCTGTTTTGCGAAGAAAAGGAGCTGAACACCTTTTGCAGAGAACACATTTCTGCGTAGGCGGCCTTCGGCCGCACTTAATGATTATAACC